TTCAGGGATTTAAAGAGGCTTTTGCTTGAGGAAGTATTGGCAAGTGTCTGGGGTTCTTATGGCTCTCATGGCGGGAGAAGTGGAGGGCCAGACCTGCTGTAGGTGTAAATCACCTGGCTCCATTAAAGTCAGTGGTGGAGCTATTCCTGTTTACCCCCACTGGCCTGGAGTCCTTTATTGGCTTCTGGCCAGTTTGTTAATTGTTTTTAGAGGACTGGTTTTTTTTACTAGTGCATGTGTGCTAAGAAAGTAGTGTCATCAGCAGAGTTTACACAGTGAAGTGATTCCACACCTGCTGCAACTCCCGAGAAGTCACAGAGCATGAGGCACCAAAGGGGAGGAAGAGTGTAATGAATCTCCCTAGGAAAGAGAGAAAAAAAAAAGGAGGATTCCTGGCACGCTCAGTTGTGAGGATATTCTAGAAGCTCCAAATCCCGTCACAGAACAGCAGTGGCCAGTGTCCCAGATAGAGGGAACATGACAAACTCAAGAAGAAATGTATTCCTCCCCTTAAGTTCTTATTCCCTGAGATACGTGGCTGAAGGGGATTGGACAGGATGGATGTGTATGGTAGTGTGAGAATGAGACATCGCCCTTCATTTCACACTTATTGTCCCATCAAAGTGAAAAATACTCCCTAGAGGCAGCACTCCTGGATCTAAGCATGAATGGAAGATGAAAATTACTGCTCAGTGTTACTGAAATGGGAATGATTAGAGATGGGAAAATGCTGCATAACTTTTCCTGCCTCTTTTGTGTTTGCTGTCTGTGACTATGCTAGGAGAGGAGCTCACTGGCAGGAATCAGCACCCTTTAAGACAGTCACAAAAAGCGAATGAAACGGTGATTGTTGGCCCTGGAAATTTGAGTATAAATGTTCAACTTGTCCAGACAGGAAGCAGAAATATGGAACGTAACCGATTTGTCCAGTCAAAACTAACTGAATTTAGAATACCAAATAATCACAATAAATTCCTCATAAACTAGCTACAGATAGAGAATGACTTCTATGAGAGTTTGTCTGAGTAAGAACTGTGTAAGGACCTGAGGCCTAGACCTAAGAGTTCTGGGCAGTCAATACCTACAAGACTGAGTGTGTAGCAGAGCCAAAACGTGGCTCTTCCAAAGTTAGAGAATGGGTAGGTATGTTGCCATTGCTATGTCCTATCAAACCCAATCCTGATCTGCTTTTTGGACTTCCTATTTCGGATTTCATACATATTATTTGCCCGGCATATTCTTTCCCTTATTTTAAAGTGAATCCCTTGCAAAAATTAGGATCTTCTCTCAGAGGTTGCAGTGTGGCACTTCTGCAAACCCCAGGTTTTAAGTTAGTTTCCTTGTCAATGTCAGCTCAAAAGCTCCATCTGTAGGGGAACTGAAAAAGATCCCTTCAGGTTCCAACTTGGTAAGATAGGAGGAAAAGCGTCACTCACTGATTCCAGTTTTCCTGTCTCACTCAAGGGTGGTTTTCACATTTCATTGCTGAGACTGATTTGTTTCACCTTTGCAATGGTACTTCAGACTTTACAATATTCTTATTTTTTGGTGCTAAACCTCTAGACCAGGTCCTTCACTGCACCTAATGTGGTGCCGTTATGCATTGAAACCAATGGAATCTTGATATCTACCACGTTGCACCTAGGAAGCCTTAAGGAATTTCAAGTAAGCTGCTAGACTGCAAGTTTTTTGGAGCAGGGAACATGATTTCTTAGAGGTTTCAATAGTTTATGATACACTGTGGACAATGAGAGAAACAAATTACATAAAATAATTATTATTAATAATAGAATCCAAGATTATTTACTGAATCGGTTTCCCACTAACTTTGTGTGAAGTGTATATCAGACCAACCCTTGGGGTATTTTAATAGCTGTGACAACAGAAATACTAACTGTCAGTAGACCTTTTTGGAGGGGGAAATACCGATGGTCATGTTCTCTTCCTTTTTCTTTGTGTGGCTAATAGAAGCTTTCATCATAAAGTGTTTTAAAATGTTCTGTTTTTGTCTTTGAGGTGTAGTTTTAAGTTTCCTTTAATCAGTATTTGTAACTACTATTGTTATTGGATAGCCACCCCACATACACGACTGAAGTCACTACTGAGTTTGGAGATCTTTATCCGACCCACACAAAACCACTATTCAGTAGATCAGAGTCTCTTTTTATGAGAAGAGCTGGCATAGAAGAAGGTGGTACACATCATAAGAATGGCCAGACTGGGTCAGATCAAAGGTCCATCTAGGCCAGTATCCTGTCTTCTGACAGTGGCAATGCCAGGTGCTTCAGAGGGAATGAACAGAACAAGTGATCCATCTCCTGTCACCCATTCCCAGCTTCTGGTAAACAGAGGCTATGGACACCATCCCTGCCCATCCTGGCTAATAGCCATTGATGAACCTATCCGCCATGAACTCATGTAGTTCTTTTTTGATAGTGCCTTGGCAGAGCTGAGTGAGAGGAACTTGCACTGCTTCTTCCCATGCTATCCTGGATCTAGTCAGCACTAGCCATCCCCCTCACTTTCATGAGGAATAAAATTAAAATTTAATCCTATTTACATTGCCTCTCTCTTCCCCCAGATATTGCCAGCCACGACCCAATACTGTCAAAACAATGCCATTGGGCTGCTACATGAAGCATGCATGGAGATGGTTCTTTGGATAATTCTGAAGCCTGGATACTAGGAGTCCTAATCGCAATAAAGGAAAGAAGAGTACTCACTGGCTTATTCATTCAGGCCAGAACCCTTGATAGCCTTTCCCCCAGCTGAGGAATCAAACTCTGTGTGAAAGCCACAGAAGAAAGTTTAAACCAATTCTTCTACTGTATTACTCACATCGGGGCCTGATCTAAACACCACTGAGGTCTATGGGAGACTTTTCATTGCCTTGGGTAGTCTTTGGATCAGGCCCATAGTGAGTGTCTGGGAATACTTTATTGCAATTTTTTTCTCCAGCTGTTGGGTTGATTCCATGTCTCAGTGCGGCTATGGTTTCCCAGGGAAGCCCCATTTCTCTGTATCCATGCTGTGCAATTCTCTCCACAAAGCCTCAAGAAAAATGTGGTTCTCATCTCAGCAAGTTTAGCGCCCATCCTCCCTCTGCTGATTTCAGTGTACAAAATAATCTTCAAGCCCTGCAGAAACTATCATCACAAGAGCCAGAAATCCTGTAAGTTAGAAGGAAGGAAGGGTGGAGAGGGGTCTGTATTTTACAGAGCAGAGACAGCACTGGTGGCTTTGAAACCAGACAGAATTGGCAGCCAACACTATTGTAAATCATCTGTCTCATTATGGAAGTTTGACTTCCATTCACAACAGAAATTTTGCTTTATTTCAGCCTTCATAGAACTGAAAGGTCCTCCCCTAGCCCTCCAAGATCCATAAAGCTAGGTCTTTGTGTCAAAATCATCAAGTCATTCATTAAAATAGCATTTAAAAATAAAAATAAAAACAAAATCAGACCCAGGATATTCTCTCTCTTTCCGACACCCTTCCATTTTCAGGAAATTGAGAGTTCTTCTTTTCTTCTATCATTACGGTCACTGGGGTATAGGAGCACAAACTTAACCAAGAAAAGTAAAAATCCCTCTGACAGACTGCACTCTCCACCCTTTCATAGATCTGAAGGCCAGAAGGGACCATTATGCTAGCTGAGTCTCCTGAAAGCTAAAATACTTGTGTCTAATCCTGATTACTGGGCTCAATACCGGGGTAACGGGGAGTTTAGTGGCTTGTGATGTGCAGGAGGTCAGGCTAGATGGTCCCTTCTGGTCTTAAGCTCTATGTAATACCCTAAAAGTGCTTAGGAGGCATTCGTTATTTATTTCTGTTATTTGCTCTCTGCAGGGAAGTGATACTGAGCCATTGAGGGGGGGGGGGGAGGGGGGAGGTTGCTGTTGGGGGGAAAGTATTGTTTAACAATTAAAATGTCCAGAATTGTGTGTGCTCTCTGTTGAGCCGCTTGTGAGATTGTTCAGAGAACCTGAATGGAGATCGCAGGATTGTTGTGGAAATGTCTCTAGGGACAGTGTCAGCGGTTCCCCACCTACCTGCAGAAGGAGAAGCATCAGCTGCACTCTGACCTGTGCAAAGAGCATTCTCCAGACAAGGGGAGCATAGCACAGCTACCAGCAGCTGAGGATCACAATGAGGGGTACAGGTTCTTTGGTGCCCCATAGCTAGTGGTGTCCTGAGGGGGTGTCTGAAAGGGGTGGGGGAGGGTCTTATAGGGGTTCATGTCCCAGGAATGGTTCTTCACTAGTTTTGCCATCTGGGAGGCTCCCTGAGCTAGAGGTAGGCCTGCTGCTTGCAGCTGAGGTAATTAGCTGTGGATGAGCCTAGTTAGGCTCAGAGGCTTGAAAGAGGGAGAGGCGCATTGACTGCCAAGTCAGAAACTGACTTCTCTCACTGAAGGACACAAGCAGCTCCTGTTGGGTTTGTATCCTGCTTGTACAGTGAGCAGCTCTGGGGAGTGCTGTCCTCTGTCTACAGTTTGTTATGGAGTTTAAAGCTGCATGAAGGGAATGCGGCTAGATATTTTATTTGCTTATGCTGCGGGGAGGAGACAGACCCTGTAAATACACTGGAAATGCCAGAGCAGGCTTCCCCTGGGATATGGTGCCTGGTGAGCTTCCTTCTAAATCCATGGATGCAAGGCTTTGCTCACTTGAGTCTCCCAGTTCGAGTCTTGTCTATGGTAATGTGTGCCTTGCATGCTCAGTGAGTAGAACTGCCGGGTGAGGTCTGCATTAGCTGGTTAAATACACGTATAGGCCATGTGGAGCCAAGGAGACTTTTATTGCTGACACTAACAGGAGCAGGACTGGGTGCTTAAGTTACTGGGCTGTAGTTGCTGGATACAGCCCACAGCACTAGCAGATAAATTGCAGTGGGGGAGGTGTAATCCCTTTCCCAGGACTCAGTATAAAGTCTTCATTTTTTCTAGGCCTGTAAAACTGTAATGTAAAAAGCTGATAATTTTTCTCTCTGCTCCACAGAGATCCCTGGGTGTCCTGGAATGGTGGAAAGTTGAATGGGCTGAAGTGTCTTCCTTACCATGCTGAGCTCACAAGAGCTCTGGAGAGAGAAAGCAGGAGCACAGCCGTGCTTCTCTGAGGCTGGTGAAACGGTGGGAAACTATTGCTTTGGCAACTGCCTTCATCTCAGCCCATCACCCATAGTGAGTCACCCGAAGGAGAAGCTGATGAAGGAGTAACAGCGACCCAGGCGAGGATCCATCAGCGCATCAAGCATCTGAGGGGGATATAAGAGCAGGATCTGCCCTGAAAGAGCCACATCTCCGGAACCAACCATGTGAAATTGGATCTACTCTGGGAAGGTGATAGCATGGCCCAACAGCACAGCACAGAATGAGTTGAGTTTCCATGCAGGAGGAAAAAAGACATCCAGGGGTTTCCCTGTCATGTTAACCTCGGAAAGCACAGTTTCAAAAGGCAAGAAATCTCTAGGGCTGCCCTGTCCTCTCCATTGGCCAATTCATGGAAAAGAAGCCAAGCTCACTGCCTCCTGGCCAGGCCAAGGGATTGCTAGGAACATGGCCATGGGATTTTGTCCACATGCTGGCAGTGGGGTTCAGATGAAACAGGAACCTTTTAAAGACGAGAAAGACAAGGAACACTGAAGTTTGCTTTTATTTACTCTGTGTTTGTTTCTACAGAGGAAGAGACAGAGAAGATGCCATGGGTAGAAACTAATAAATTCCCAATACGCCACTCAGCCCTACTCAGATAGAAGAGGAACATTAACATGGGCCAAATCTGAGGTCTTTACTCAGACAACACTCCCACAGACCCCAAGACACTGACTTCAATGACTGTAAGGCGCTAGGATTTGACCCCATGTTTTTGCACTTAGCAGGGATGGGAAGAGAGCTGCTTCACCTTTCACTTTTCAGCCCTGATTGTCAACCAGCACTCACCACACCCTTGGAGCCCAGTTTTCAGACCTGAGCCCCAAATGCCATACAAGGCTCAAATCCCTCATTCGGGTATTGAAATCAGTGCATGGGCAAGTCAATCCTTGTTGAAAACTGAGCTCCCTGGCTTATTAAATATACAAAAGGGTTCAAAATGAAAAGCCCTGGTTTGGCTATTAAGGGCTTGATCTGGTGAGGCTGCCTAGCACTGTCCACGAGACGCTCAACCTCCACTGGCACCCAGGGGCGTTGGGTGACCAGCACCTCCCAGTAGCTCAGCATCTCAAAAGATCAGGAGGCCCTTCATCTCTTTACCCATGTTGCAAAGAAAAAGGCAGAGAGCTAGAGGTCCACGCAGCAAACCATTGGAAAGACGAATTCAAACAGTAGGAAAGCTGTGGTGTTCTTGCAGTTTTGGATGGCAAAAGGATAGTCTTGTATGCCAAGCACCCGGGTCAGCTGAGTGAGTGCAGGATTCTGCTTATCAGCCTGCTTAACAGCCCCCTGAGTTCTGAGGACCAGCAGCGATAACGGAATTTCTCAGCTTTGCACACAGCTCTGTTTTGACAAGGAGTGTGCAGGCAGGCCGGGCTTCCACCTGGAAAACCTCTCACTAACGTACAGTTGGGTTTCTTTATTTGCTGCTTGATGTAACACAAAAATGCGGAGCGTTGTTGTAGAGCAGCTTCCGAACCTGTGTCTGCAAGTGGGAGCCACTGACAACTTGTGTAATGCCGTAAGCTGGCCTTCAGCTCTAGCAAAATAAAAGCAAGCCATTTCGCAGGGGTTGCCTGATGTTTACAAAACAAGAGGCTGCAGTCTGACCTTCTTTATCTGCTGTACAGGATGTGAAGGGTACAGAGCGTGTGTGTGTGTATGTGTGTGTGTAAGAAAACGCATGTTTGTACGCTACTTGGACTCTGGTACTTTATATTCTTAATATTGTTTTCTCAATGCTGCCATCTACAGCAGAATCAAATTTGTTTTATATACAGTTGCCTTGTAAGCACCTGGTGGCCAGGTTCTCAGCTGCTGTGAGTTGGCATATTTCCACTGAAGAGGAGCTACATCAGTTGGCAGCATCTGATGATCTGGCTCAGTATCTCCAACGTGCCCTACACTACCATACAGTATAGTGCAGCTGGTTAGATGCTGGCTGCGAAGTGACTCTGTAGGCAAATGGGGTAGGCATTCTCTTCTCCTCAACAGCTCACCCTCGGCCCAAGCCATTCAAACCGGTGTGACTGAATGAGGCCATGAACCTCACTTCTTTATCCCTTAGCACACTTTCCCATGAATTCTTATGCTGGAGAGAGAACTCTAGGCCTGACTCTGTTAATGTTTGAGGACTGTCCTTTTACAGAACAATGCCTAGGAGTCATTACAGTGACTGATTAGTCATGGAGTCTCTCTTAGAAATGGTACCATGAGTTTTCTCTTCAGGCCAAAGAGCAACACAGGATCCTTTCAGTTACTTTTCCTGCTAATACTCTCTTGTGTGGGCGTGGGAGCAGCTGACAGTAACTAAAATGGACACAATCTCACTGGTAGCTCACAAACACGCCCCCAAAGTCATCTATGATCTGTTTACCAACAATTGCTTCCTCATAGGAGATGTCATAGGAGATGGAAGAAATCTCTTAGACGCTATCCAGTCCATCTGCTGAGGCCCTACAGGTTTGTTCCCTATGTTACATTTGCTAGCGGATTGTCAAGTCTATTTTTAAATGCCTCAGCCAATGGGGCTTTCACCACTTCCCTTGGGAGACCATTCCACAGCCAAGGTCAGAAAGCTTCTACTAATATCACACCTACACCTGGTCATACCTTTCAAGTCCATGTCACTCATTATCATGTCTAAGGGAAGATGTCCTTTTTCCAAGCACTGCCCCTTTAACTCTTTTAATCTTTCCTCACAGATCAGTCTCTCCAGCTCCCTGATGGTTGCTATTCTCTAAACTCCTTCTAATTTGACATACAAATAGGCTGATTCAATTTTGACTCCAGCTGCGAGGAGTTTGTGACAGAGCTGTTTTCAAATTAGCTCTAGAAGCAATGCCTGAAGCACTAGCCGTACACGGATAGCTCCCCAGTAGCATGTGTGAGGTTGACCTTGCCCTCACCACCCGGGAAGATTGAACACAGGTTTCACAATGAGGGGTCAGACAGCTACCACGTCATGGGACACAGGGAGAATTTGGAACAAGTTCAGTGACAAGTCCTAGTTTATCCAGGAGGGAACTAAATCCTGCTGAAGACAGGATAGGACCAAATCTCCATCCCAAAGTAATCCAGCTCCCACAAATTCAAACTGGGTAGTGGAGGCGTGCAGCACCATTTAGCAGCTCGTGTGACTGCATTGACCCGTGGCTCTTGGGAAGAGGGCTTTTTAAGACCAGTTGTGGGCATACGGGCACAGTTTATTCTGGTGCCACCTTGGCTGATGCCACAGTTCATGTTGAGAGCGCCGTTGTACACTGCTCAACACACAGAAGCACATGCGCCTTGTAGGCATGCAGAATAAAGCTGCACATCAGCATAGTGAATGCACATGGCAGGCTTGCAGAGGGAGTCTTTGTACGCTGCATTTATTGTGAGTGCTATTGTGAACCTGACATCCTCTGTTCTCTCCAGAGAACAAATTGTTCTCACAAATAAAGTCAGAAATGCCCTGTTCCTTTGTCCTGAATTTTCACTGTACACCAAAAGTTGTGGTGGATCAGAGAAGGGACTCTCGTCAGATTGAAGAGAACAGAAAGGAGCACAGTCACACTGGAGTTTGTGGCAGCATGATGGAGGAGAGGAGAGGAGAGAGAGGCAGGGTTTGCAGGCTGCCTTTCAGGTGGGCACCAAAACTCCAGTCCAAAAGTCGCCTGTCAAATGCATCTGGTGAGAAATGTTTCAGTAGCACTTTAGAGTCTATGCTGCGGTCAGAGAGAAAAGACCTCGTTGGTATGTGACTAATGGTCTCTGCCCCAAAGTCAAATAAGTAAAGGCTGTGCTGGTATCAAAGGCTGTGCCTTTTAGGGCTCAGCTTCCCAGACAGAGTCTGGCCAGGGCACTGTGAATCTCTTGTTATACACAGCAGGGGTGGATGTAGCTTCCTGATTCAGTGGGTGCACTAAACTAAACTGCCAATGGGTCACTGACCACCTGCAGCAGCACCCTCTGCCCTGGCATCGCAACCCTAAGCCTGTCTGGTGTGGGGGAGTGGCCCCAGGGACCCCATGACAAAGGGGAAGCTGGGCCAAACCTGAGTAGCACTGTGACCCCATGCACCAGGTCACAATGCCTGGATGGAGGAGCCGGACCCAGCCCTGTGGGACAGAGTTGAATACAGGGTGGGCTCACTTTCCAACACCCAACTGCCCGGGGCTTCCCCTCCACACCAGGCTGGGAGAAGTCTATGTCTGCTTGGTTTTGCACCCTTGGTTCCATGATTTCTGTAGGTTCAGTTGAACCCATGAACCCCCCTTAAAGCCACCCCAGCATACAGCCAGCTGGAACCAGACACAAAATTAAGCAGATCTCTTGCAAGCATCTTAAGTGCTGAGTCCCATATTTTTAAAAGTATTTAGGCTTTGTGGGGCTAGGTCAACAGGATTTAGGCTCCCAAGTGCCTAAATCACTTTTGAAAAGGAGACGTAGGTGTTGGATCACTGAGTGCAGCCACACCCCAATGCCTCTAAAAGTCTGAGCCTGAGCGAGCACTGAACACTCCAGCTGCAATAAAGGCATGACACAAAGAATACAAGGGGCTGGTCTTTATTTCCTTGCTCAAGTCACCTGAGATGAGGGAGGGTCCCAGGACAGGGATCAATATCCACTGACTCCAGTCGCTGCTGTGGGGGTGTGTGCTTAATCTGGTAACAGCAATGCTGTCTGGGAGAGCGAGGATCCTTCAACTTAGGGAGAGCAGCTTGTGAGCCACCGTAGACCAAGCGAGAACTGTATCAGACTCATCTTTTTAACTGGAGCGAGGAGGAAAACAAGAACCAGATCAAAGTGGAAATAACTTGGGGCTCTCCAGGGTGTAAGAGTATCCTGATAGAAGATTTTGGAGGAGAGACGATCACCCTTTAACTCTTCAAGGTCTGTAACTTGAAGGCTTCTTTGAATAATTTCAGCCCACAACATCGCATGTACCATAACTTCCCCTCTAATAGATCCCCAGCTAGTGCCGGTATCTGCCACTAGTGAAGTCCTATGGTTGTGAGGTGGGCGGAGTGGATAGGGGGGCTAGCTTTACAAAAGCACCGGTCAGGGGAAGCATTCAATGCGTGCATCGTTAGAGAACGTAAACGACACATTGTTGTAACCAGATTTCACTTACACCATGCCTTACGAAACATCATCTGGATCTTAAACATAAAAGAGAGCTTAGCCAGGGCCTTAATATTTCCTGATATCTGAGCCAGTCATTTAATGTTACTACGAGTGTGCCTTGTGTTATACGCACAGTGAACCATCTGATCGACTTTGGGACGGTATCTATAGTCTGGCCTTTTCACTCTTCACTAGCCACGAACCTCCCCATCAGGATGGTGTTATATTGTCCCAGACCTTTGTCTGCAACCCTCCCTTAGCAGCAATTTCCCTGTCCTCTCCCACTCAGAAGATGTAAGGATGTAAGACGGCTGCTCAGAGAGAGGCTGGCAAATCCTTTGGGGGAGAACCGTCCATCGGCCAGACAAGCCTGCATTCCAGCAGCAGCATGTCACTGGCTATTAACCAGTCCTGGTGTTCTCAGTATTTTTGTTGGCCTATTCATCTCACTGGATCATTTTCCACCTACTTTCCTCTTGCCACGAGACTGGAGACCCTGAAAACAGATAATTGCTCTGTGGAGCTAACCCATCTCTCAGTCTCCAACACATGCATTGACACACTGATTCCAAGAAGTAGGGCTTAGAAAACGGTAGGGCATATTCAGCTGTGCCATCAGCGGGCACAACTCAGCTGAAGGCATAGAAGTGGCACTTTGTATGCCTATGGCACCTTGCACCAAAGGGTGTCAAAACTTAATTATGCCTCTTGTATCTTTTTTCTGTCTAGTTCCAGATCCAAGCCTGCCAACCCACATAGTTTCAGTAGGGCTTACCTAATCCACCAACCATTTATCAACTCAACATTTCTTTATACTCCCCACATACTGAACATTGTGGATGTTTTAGCTTCTAGAATTGAGCAAGCACTGATGTTTGCCTTGGTTTTTGGGATGGGGCAAAGTGATTAATTGAGCCATGCTTTCCAAAAGATTTTTTTTTTAAGAATACCCAGACATTCACAATTGATCTAAATATTTTTCTTACTTTCCAAAAAGTTTCATGCAGCCCAAAGCTTCTCCCCCATCCCAAAAAATAACTGCAAGGAGATATTCCTAGGCGTATGGCTGCAATAAAACACAGCTTCATCCTTTCATGGTTAGATGTACAAACATGAATTATGGCATCTTAGATTGTCTTGATAGGAGAATGTAAAATTGCTTTATGTGGCTGTTGTTAATCTGACTGAACCAGCCGCAGTCACAAACAGTGGTGTCCAAGTGGGAGTATTTTATTAATCTATTTAATCTCTCCAAAAGGCAAACAGCTCTTACTTATACCTCGCAGCAAAAGGACTGCTTTTAATATCCGTTTGCTCATTCTATGGTCTAGATTTCTCTGGTGCTGTGTCATTTTTGCAGCTGATCAGGTTTTGCAACTATAAATTGGTTAATTTTAAAACCACATGTGTCTTGGTTTTGTTACTATCTTGCAAACAGTAGGGAGTGCAGAATGCAGCAGATATTACAAATCTTTCACTCATC